GAGCGAAAACCCCCCCCCCCCCCCCCCCCCCCCCCCCCGGGGGAGATGGCCACGCCGCAATCCCTTCTCCTCCATTCTCCTCTCGGGATCTTGGGCAAGCACGCGCACGTGCCTGGCTGAGTTTAAGCCACTGGATCTGGGACTTGAACCATGGCTGACTACATAGGAGTCCAGCGACATAGCCATTACACCAACTGCTGGTCCCGACCTCCACGTTACTGAAAGTAAGCTAAAGTCACTCCTTCATCCCAGTATCGAATTCTGAAACTTCACTTCAGGTAAAATGACAGAACAGCCTCTGCAGATACGAAGCTCAGAGGCGAGATCTAAAAACTCACGTTCCGCTTTATTTAAATTATTTTAAGAAAGGTTTCCCTCTCTACTCCACCATTTGGATTCCTTAATAGCGTCCTGGTTTGCCACTTGCAAGTTTAACAACTGTCTGAGAGCAGGAGGGTTTATGAAAGGGTGTCTGGGAGTTCCCAGAATCGGCCAGAGATGATTTAAGGGTCATGGATCTCAGAGGGTATTACTGGAGAGTGACGATGGTAAAAAGTTAACGAACTCAGCGACGTAACAGGAATATAGAAAAAGGGCCCCGTACTTGGACTAGGTTGGGAAAAAAGGTGAAATAACATTTTACAGCAGCAGAAGAGAACAAATAGCATGAAAAAAATGAGTGTCCTGGCAAGTGGGTAAACTGAAGTTCTTAAAACGAGGCAATCTCCCAAATCACCTAGCATAATGTCACTATCATTCACTCATTCGCGTCAACTCTCCAAAGAGATTTCCTCTTAAAATTCCAGCAGAAAACAACTGTCTTCACCTACTCCATTTCTCCCCTGTTAATATGAGTGACTTATTCTTTATGTAACTTGTGGAGAAAGCTCTATTCAAAATGGATCGTCAATGCAACAGGTGAACAGAAAAGGTGGACGCAGAATTCATTTTGCTACAAGCTGTCTGGGCAGGTATTAGTCATGGAGAAGTAAGAGGCCGGCCTTCTGGAGAATCATAGATTAGTGATTAAAAAAAAACAAACTCAAATCAGAATTGGGGGTCAGGAAGAAAACTACTGAGGATTCTTCCAAACTTCAGCCAGAAACAGGGAGGCAAGGCACAGCAGTTGCAGGTGGTAAAGGCCCTGGAGAAAATGACCCTTCTTGCATTTTTAAGGACGCCTAGACCATGAGGAGCATCTCAGCTCCCCTCACTGGGAGGCCCACAAATGCAGCGAGAGGCAGAGGCAGTTTGGAAAGTAGGAAGCCTACGGAAAAGGGAATTCCGTACCTCTTGGCGCTGGTGGAGAGGAGTTTGGAGTTTTTGCTCATGCTGACTTTACCCTCCTTCTTCTTAGGGGTGTTTGTTTCCTTCTCGGTTTGCTGGTTGGAGGACGAAGATGAGGAGGAGCTGGTGCTGGCCCTCGAATCGTCATCCGACATAGCGAACCCCCCGCCCCACCCCGCAAACAGCCCCTGCAGCGGGAGGGAAACAAAACAGAAACACACGAACCATGCGGGCGCCGTGCAGGACAGCTCCGTGCTGTCAGGAGGGCACTGCCCCGGGGTGCACCCAGCCGCCCACCGCCCCCACTGTCTTTCCAAAGTCTCCAGGACCACTGGGGGTTTGCAAATTGGACCCGGCTTGTTTATTTTTGGCCCCTGGTGAAGGCCGCTCTAGGAAAACCGTCTGGGGCCCAGCGAGCCGCCCCTCCCTGGCCCCCCAAGGCTCCCTCCCGGCAGGGGGGCCGAAGCCCAGGCAGGAAGGGGGCAGGGTGGGGGCGCAGGGTGCCTCGGCTGGGCAAGAGGGCAGGTCCCAGCGGCCAGCTGGCCTCCAACTGTTTTTGTCCCTCTCTGGGGGTCGCGGGGGGCCGGTGGCCCAGGCGACACCGCGAGGGGCAC